CAACTCAAAGTTTTCCTGAATCTAAAGGAAAAGTTTACCTAATTTTTGCTCTCGTCCAATCCACGCACACTATATTCAATGACCGACGGGCTAGCGAATGGTGCACGTATGTTTAATATGCTATTTCTTATATAAACTCCTCACCACCAGGCTGGATAACTAACCGGTAGTAATATAGTTTATAATACTAAATATATGTCGTAAGTTCATAAAAAATTGATATTTACTTTGTGACGAATTTACTATGATGTTAAGAATAATTTAAAAAAAATGTTCTTAACAAATTTGTCGCAATTTTATATTTGCGAAATTTTATTCTTGTAGCTATTTGCTCGCCAACTTTATGACAATTTTCATACGACAATTTCAGATAATATCTAAAGGTAGCAAACTTATAGCAAAAAAAAAATTGTGTCCAAGATTGTTACAATTGTGCTACGAAAATGGATTTACCACTATTCGACAACGACTTTTTTGTCGCAATTAAATTCTTTTTTATCGACAAACTTTCAAGAAAGCCACGGAAAAACCCATTTCCAACAATATATTTTTATGGATTGGTACCAAAGCATGAAAGCAATATTCTTTGTCATAACTCATACTACTCCATGTTTCTTAGTAGTATTTCTTAAGTGGTTACTTCTTCCTTCCTTACAATCTGCTTTTTACGCCATTGATAGAAAATGTTTCAAAATGCTAGAATTCAGATGCGACTTAAAAACACATGTTGTTGAGTCTCATTTTGATTTTGGTAACAAAATATCAAATTAGTATTTAAGGTCAAGCAACCGCGCGCAACGAATTTACCAAAAGATTAATATTCATGAATGTACTATCACTTATTATGCAGCTGCCAAAAATACCCTAAATCATATACGCGTAATAACCATTTCATGATGATGATCTCAATCTCAAATACTCTTTTCTTGTACCACAAGGTTCCTCTACCCATCAAGACCGTAGCAACGAACAATAATAAATCAAAACATACAACAGTTACCAACACACAACATCAAAGTTATAATGCCTTTGGAATATGGTGAATACGTTCATGAACTACATCTAAATAAGCGCGGCGATTATGTTTAAACCAACAGAAAAATCAAAGTTATAATGCCATCACAACTTAAACGATTAAGCTTCTGTGAGAAACAGGAACAACTCAACGTGATCAAGTTTTTGGCTAATCAATCAGTGATATAGTAAACATTTTGCTTTCATACATACTCATTTAATCAATTCGATCTAGGTTGCACAGATTGCAGAACAAGAAAGTCGTAAACAAAAGGATCTAAACACCAAAAACAGAGTTACCAAGGATGTAAGCACCAAAAACAGAGTTACAGAGTCATAACATGAGATTTTCTTTATTTACCGTGTGATTGATTCGACCTTGGTTCTTCCACATAATGATCTGTTCGGACCTGCCAATGATGGTCCGACTAAAAAATCTGATGATCTTGGTGGAGTTTGTCAATGTGAAACATAACTACATAA